AAACACCAATCCTCAACTTCTCCACATCACTCATCATGACTACCATCGAAAGTCTTCTGCAAAGGAACAAGTCCGCCTGTTCATTCTTTGTGATCTAAGCTGTGGCTAACTTTGAAGCAGGGCCACTAAGCATGTTCCTCTTCCTTACATCTCCGAGTTGAGCACTCTTAGAGCTCCTCCTATTCGTACTCTAATCGGTGTGTCAGCCCAAACTGTGCTCACGGAAGCACTCTTGTCGGTGACTAACCAGTCCCTACCTTAGTTACCTGTGCCGACCCTCGCGTCTGCCCAGAGAAGTAGTTCAACCTCAATCCAGGAGGTACGCAGTGACGTCGAGAGACTTAGATAGAATAGACTAACTCGAAACATAGAGGTTATTATTCATCGCAATGCTAGCGGCAACGTTCAGCATGCTTTCCGGGACATCAGCGTCCTGGACAGCCTCTTTACCATCGATGAAATCGCCGTCATCCACCACACCGACTGTGGCACCCTCCACTTCAAGGAGGAGCAGGTCCGCGACTATGTAAAGAAGCAAACCGACGAGACTCACTGGGCTGAAGTTGACAAGATGGTCTTCAGCGCAAATGCGGAGTAAGCATACCCAACAGAATACCAATATCCGTTTCTGACAGTTTTCAGGTAATTAGCATCGAGAAGAGTGTCAAAGAGGATCTTGCATAGGTTCGCGCCCATCCCATAATCAGAGAGCAGCTGAAGGGAGGATGCCAAGGATTTATCTTTGACATCAAGACTAGCGAACTGAAGAAAGTTGGTACTGCCTGAGTCTAAGCCCTAGGTCTGCCGTGGTGGCATATAGTAGTAGGGCGTGGGGTGGGTTGACGATTAGGGCTTGCGTAGATAGTTGTCGCACTAAACGTGTATGACAAACTAATAGTGAAAAGTGTGTAAAAATTGAATATGCACGAATATAAGGAAAATGTATTGTGATTGTATGTATGTAGATGTGAGATCCTCTTTTTTTGCGATAGTGAGGAGAGGTGCTTTTATGTCTCTCGCGACAGCTATCATGTAATTATTAATTCCAGAGCCAATAAGCTTCCACCAGGTGGATCTGGCCTGCGACATTTACTGATCATTTACACGAACGATGTCCAGGTCTGCTTGCTCCACTACCAGCGAAGTGTCCGCAGAGACTAGGCAAGATATCTACCCACGGAGTTCGCAAAGATTGCGGCTCTCGTTCACTCAAGTAGGGTCGAAAGTACTGATCAGTTTCGCACGGGATCAATAGGGCCCTCGCCTTGTTCTCTGCCATAGCGGGCCTCATCCCAAGTAGTTTAGCTTAGCGGAAGTCGGCTCGCTTACATAAAAGCGCCGATAGACAAGGTACTTAATGCGCTCAAAGAAGTAGTATAGCGTAAAGCGGATGGCCAATCCCATTAGAAGATTGTGGCTTGGTGTGTGGCGGAAACGAAGCCGATGAGCCGGGGTATCAATGTTTACAGTCGCGGCCGGATGGATGCCAAGCAGACGGTGCAACGATGATTCGGGCAAGA